ATAAAAATTTTACAGGTAAAATGTTATTATTTTTTGCCATTTCGAATAATAAGTAGAATATGGGGTTGGATAGCCAGTTTGGAATTGCCAGTTAGGTTAAGACCAATCTTATATGGATTTTATGCAAAGACATTTGATGCTAATTTAGATGAAATTGACTTAGACTTATCAGCATTTCCAAGTCTTGTAGATTTTTTTGTTAGACCTCTCAAATGTGATGCAAGACCTATTGATCAAAATACAAATATAGTAAGTATATGTTTTTTATTCCTAAGTTGAATAAGTAATTTGAATAGTATAATAATTAAATGTAAATTGATTATAGGTTTCACCTTCTGATGGGAAAGTATTATATTTTGGACCAGTAACTTCCTGTTATGTACAACAAGTAAAAGGTGTAACTTATAATCTTAAACACTTCTTAGGTGACATAAGTACATCTTACTCTGATGAGTCATCCAAATGTACAGAAGAAGATGATAGTGCTTATATAAAGTCTCTTCTAAAAAATCCAATGAATCAACTTTATCAACTAACAGTATATCTTGCTCCAGGAGATTATCATAGATTTCATAGTCCTACTGACTGGGAAATAGAATTTCGTAGGCACTTCCAAGGTTTGTTATTTTATGCAGTTAGTTAATTAACATGAATTAAAATTGATAAAATATGACCTTGTCATTTCAGGAAAGCTCTTAAGTGTTAATCCTAAAGTAGCCCAGTATCTACCAGATTTATTTTCGTTAAACGAACGTGTAATATATATTGGAAAATGGGCTGGTGGTTTTATGGCTTATACAGCAGTTGGAGCCACAAATGTAGGTTCTATAAAAGTTTACTGTGATAAAGATCTACATACAAACACTATTAAGTGGCCTGAAGCAAAGCATTGGAAAGATGCTAGTTTAGGTTGTACACATTTAAACAAAGGAGAATTATTTGGTGAATTTAGAATGGGATCTACTGTTGTACTACTATTTGAAGCTCCAAAAGATTTTGAATTTTGCTTAAATGTAGGACAAACAATAAAAATGGGTCAAGGTTTGAGTGAATGTGCCGTTGGAGAGGCCAAAAAACAATACACACATTCATTATGACAATTAATGACGCATATAGCGCTAGACTGGAGATATATCTGGAGGATAGACATTTGAATTTCAGAGAGTAATTCATTGCTCTTATAAAAGACTTATTTTTAATGGAATTATTGTTATGTTAAGTAGATTTTTGTGCGAAAATGGTTACAAAAAGAAATAAAGTAATCATTTTAAATATTATAAATTTATTAAAACTTTGAATTCTATGAGATTTCAATAAATTCATAAATAATAAATATAATAGGTAACAATAATCTAATTGTCAGTTAATGTTTAAAGAAGGCGAATTATTTTTATCGGGGCTGTTTATGTGTATATATAAGCATTTCAATAAATACAAGTT